TTAGCACGGCGGTTTCTCGACTGTGTATTACAATAAGTTTTGCGCGGCTTAAATGAGGGAGTGACAACAACTTTGGCTCACTCTAATGTTTGTAGTTGTCGCTAGATGGTTTATGAAGCTGGATGTAATTTTTGTTACTTTTGATGCTTTTTGCACTGCCACGACAAACAATGAATAGATGAAAAACTTTCCTAAAAAACAATTTATATATTGAAGTAAAATATTTCTTTATTATAGCCAGTGGACCCATTTACCCTGTTCGCACAAGAGCCTTTGAAATGCTAGGGTACATCATGCTGCATGCATGCATCATGCATTGTCGACGCTGCTAGAGCCCGAGACAGTACGGCAACAGCACGGCGTCCATGACCATGATTGACACGCACTGCCACGTAGGAGTATATCAGATATAATATCAAAAAATAATAACAGGGTAGGCGGAAAGAACAAAGTGTTACGTAGACACGTACTCGTAGAGAGAGATAGAGAAAGAAAAAGGTGCTGTAAATGTTTTCAAATTAACCACCTCTTACCGACAGTGCGACGCGTGCCGGTCGGATCGTCACGTACCAAACTAATCCACAGCTTGATGACTCATATAGGTCATGGCTACGCACATGCAGCTAGCTAGCTGCTAGCACGGTCGTATCACTTGTCGGCGGCCGTCCGATCGTACGTGGCCACCAAAGCAATCCGGAGCCCAAGCTCTTGACAATGGCATAAGCACTTCTTTCATAAAGTGTACACCTTAACCTGTTTTCTTTTATTTTACGGTCGACATCGTACTGCACCGAAACCGATTGTCTATATGATCACGGCATCAGCTTCAGCTAGATGACAGGAGAGCAGAGATTACGTAAGAATAGCGAATATAGCTAGGCCCGCCCGGCCAGATACGGTATCTTCACGCCAAGCTAGCCAACACTTGTAAAATGCTCTAATTAAACAAATGAACATATACGTATTACGTAAATACAACGACCGGAAGAATCCCCTTGAATCAACCGAGCCTGGAAGCAACAGGTGGGCCGTCCCGGATATTTTTGTCCACGTCTGCCTGCCCTCATCCAGTTATCCTGGTACTCTCATCTTTTTTTTGTTTCTCACCTTGCGGTCCTTTCTGTTGAAGCCCAAGGACTTATTTGTATTTGTTAGAATAAATCCGAGGCATACTGTTGATAATCCAAAGACCAAACAATCACACGAGCACGATATCGAGATTTGTTAACGAGGTTCACCGATATGATTACATCCCCGGAGCTTGACTATGGGCGATCCTCTCCATGACACCGCTACAATACCGCACCCGGTCGCCCTGGACACCGGCACATGCCGCCGGCTTTCCCTGCGTTCCGGTGCTATTATGTTGGCATATGTTACATCATGTGTCTAGCCCCGCTATATATGAGAAGCCTAGGATACAAGTGTCTTACTAGGACACGACTCCATATCCTATCTAAACACAATACAACTCAGAGTCCAACTGTAACCTAACTTGTACACAATATTTGACACAACTCTAAGAGTATTTCCCTCTTCTTTTGGGACTGGTTGTAAAATGTGTTGTTTCATGTGCTTACCAGTGAAGACTCGTGAAATGTCAACCTAAACCTAATATTTTTTCTCAAAAAAAGGCTATCCTAGTAAGGTTTTCACGGGTTCGTCTTGTGTACCCCTGAGATAAGTACTCAACTAGTTTCCGTCCAAAAGTTCTCAGCCGAGAAGCAGAGACTGAGGATAACTTCGAACTGTTAGAGTAAGCTCACTAGAGGAGGGTAAGACTAGCCACAGTGGGAGTAATTTCAGTAGTAACATCGAGTCTAACTCAGCAAATTTGTTTATGTGGCAATGAGTTAGTGAAGAGAGAGGTAGTTGTAGTAACTTAGTTAGTTACTGTAACATCACATGTTCCAATGCAATATGAGTCTATAATCTAATAAATGAATCTTTGCATGTTATCACACTTAAGTTACTACCCACTATGAAGGTAGTAACATAGTCTAGAAATATATGTATGTTACTATCGATTGTGGCTAGTCTAATACAAGACCACATATGCAAATTATTAGCAAAATATAAGACCTTTTTTGGGCTAAGCTGGACTAAAAAACATCTTATATTTTGATATGGAGGGTAGACTTCAAGCTTCATGTTTCTAACAGTGTTTAAAAATGAAAAAATATGGCATGCACATAAATATGTGAACTGTTTTAAGAAATTCCATCTACGGGCTACCAGAAAAAGAAAAAATGTGGATTGTTGACGAACCTCTCTTTTTATAGCTTACAATTTGAAATATTTTTTAGTGAAATTATACAGATACATATAACACATTAAGATGTGTACAACATATCAGTGACGGTTAATATGGAAAGTAGGGAGTAGAAAACTTCAGATTTATTAGGAACTTCTAAATAAAATTCACGTGTTCCTTTTTTCTTTAAGAAAAATGTGGACCTCCCTATAGCTTGGGAGTCATACAGCTGAACACATTACAAGACCCTTTATTTCGGACAGTTCATGGTGAAAAAACCATGGCTCGAGAGAAACAACCATCATGAATATATGTGGAACCCATACAATTATCGCTAAATATAAAATTCTAACTATAAAAAGAACAATACTCTCATGGAACACTGGCCACACCAATAAAGACCAAGAAGCACTAACAAAGCAAAGTGTTAGCAAAAAAGAAGATATTCGTTGCGGTGGAACAAGATGCATGTGTGTAATTCATCATGTCGCCGAAGAGGTGGTCGACGTCGGGAAATATGTCATCGTCCTACTCAACCATGGTGGAGGAAGATCCAACAGTCGCGCTAGAGTGCTCCCCCAAAATAGGATCACAAGAGACAGGGCTCTGGAGGCCTGCTGTCTCACTTCTTGGGGCACGCCGAGAAGCAAGATGAGAAAGCGGTAGGTGCCCCAAAGCATCCAAACCAAGAAGCAGACACGTTGGAGATGAAGTGGCTTCAGCGAAACCGAGACACTAATGGGGAGACAAAGGGGAACAATCACAACCGTTCGGTTTCATTCTCACTAGCACAAAAAACATTTTAGCTTCATTGTTGTATGATAAAAAGAAGGGAGCGGGCACGCGTGGCATAGGTCTCGATCCTGCTCGGCTCGATCACGACACGCGGGCGAGGCATGCAGTGGATGATAGGTGGGAAGTACTTTTCTTAGAATCACTTCCTAATGTACATGATCATAGAAACAACAGTGTTTAAAGATAAAGATTTTCATGTGGTTTGTACATAAGACGTGATTCTAACACAACACAATTGGGTAAAACATAGGTGTGAGGGGAGTAAACATTGTTGTTTCTATGATCATGAGTAAGCAATTCAACACTTATTTCTTACAAGCATACTAGCCTAGTTATTATGACGAACAATACATGTGTCCTTTAATGTACCTCTGTCTAATAGTATGCTCAATTTGTTTAGCAACTGGTTAGGTGGGGTAAAGCCTAATACGGCGGTACGAATTCAAGTGGGGGTTTGTGCATTACTTGGCTATTTGAAACTATCAAAACAAATGTGTGTTTAACAAAACAAATATTACAAACTTTTTCATGTGATCTATCGAGCGTCTGGATGGATCTATACGTGGTCATTACCACTCCAAGCGGAAGAGAGGGAGCTTATGACCTTTGAGTGCAACCGATGAGAAACGATAGCACGTGCTACGTACAACCGGTTTAGGTGACGGTCCAATATAGGACTTTCCTCTCCCTATCTAAAGAGCTCTATTAACGCAGACCCTCTTCTGACTCTATCATTTTAAGAAAGCAGCAAATCCTTCTCTCTATTCTACTATCTGATCTTGTCGGTTGAAAATCGATCTGAAATATGGTCATATCTTCATTATCCCAATAGTAAATCTTGTTTAGGCACGATGTCCTATTTTTACCGGTTGTGGCTATTTGCTTTTTTATCTTCTTTTCGATTAGCTACTTGAGATATTTTTGGCACTCAGATATTATATTAATTTAATAGATGATTGTGTGCATCGCTTGATGTTGAGGTTGGGGTAATCCTCTTTTTTGGAAAAAAAACTCGAATGAGCCACATGGTCTCTGAGATTTTTCTAGAAATTATTGGACAGAATAAATGGGCTAAACCAATAAATCCAGCATAAGGATTTTTTTTAAGATTTGTGCTGCTTAGGGCGTGTTCGGGAGCCCTCCTGCTCCTCAAATCCTAGACTCCAGGTCGGGCGTGCAGCCGAACGTTTCAAAACGTGGCTATGGGCGAGAGAAGCTGGAGTTGAGCGTCGTGCAAAATAGGAGTCGTGGAGTTGCCCAACCCGAGCTCCAGAAAAAAATGAGAAGTTGGAGTTGTTCAAAATTACACGAGGCTGCCACCGCGAAGTGTGCCTGAGCGTACCGGTTCGAGCTTCTAATCCCACGACTCGCACGACCGACCAATCCCACCGCGAAGAAATGAACCGGCAGCGAATTGTGCTATGAGCCTGCTACAAATTTCGAGTTGATTGGGCCACATTGGGACAATTTCATGGGCTTCAGACTGACTCATGGTACGAGCGAGAAGCCGTGTCTCCTAACGTTTCGCTCACTCCAGGCTCGCTCGGGAGAAGCTGGCGAGAAGATCCTGGCGATGGAGTTGAGGAGAGTAAATTGCACAGAAGTATCATAATTGGGGCATTGGAAGCAGATTGGTATCAAGATTGGTAATTTTTACATGTCAGTACCAAGATTGGGGCGAGCCGTTGCAAAAAAGACTAAAAGTGTGTTTTATACGTATTGACAGAAAAGCTGACCGGTTGGGCCCGCCCGTCAGGCGACATGCTGGCCAGTGCGCGCGTGCCCGCGCGCTGACTGGGACGAGGCCGGCTCCCGTTTAGGGCGCGGCTGGTGCGGTCGAGCCACACCCCCGCTCACTCCCCCCGCTCTGCTCTGCTTTCTTCTTCCTTCTCTCTGCCTCGCCGCCGGCTGCGCCCGCCCCCGCCGGACGCCACACGACGCTGCCGCAGCCATGGTTTTTAAAGACGAGAGCAGCGACGAGAACTCAAGCCTCCCGTACATGCATTCTGAAACCTCCACCGATGGGCTCAATCAGGTCAGTTACTCCATTGGAGCTAGGGTTAGGGCTAGGTTTAGGAAAATTTTGGGATTTTTCTGTCTAGGTGGTCTTTGCTGTGAGGATTTCGTTTGATTTGCTTTGTCCTCGTCCTCTGCACATGATGCTAACTTGGATTTTGCTTGGGCAGGTGCCTTTCTCTCTTCAGGACCCGGATTACAATGGTCTTGAGCTAGATCTGATAGTGCTGTGCGAGAAGCATGGGAAGCCATCAGAGAGGCTTGTTGCATTTGAAGGAACAATGACTGGGAGAAGGTTCTTAGCATGTGCAGAGCCGGTAATTTTCTTGCCTTATTGATTATGCACAGGATATGTTCATTGGAAGTCACATAGTCTTGTTTGCCAATTGTTATTCAGTTATGTGATTGGTAATTTTGTTAGTCATATATGTCATACTGTAGTGCTCATTGTAGGAATTGTGAATATTATGGTCAGTAGAGTGCATTTAGGCTAAATATAGGCTCAAGCATGCTCTGTTGTGTGCACATGAATGCTCTGTTGTATGCAATGTTGCTTAGTACTCACATTAGCCATTAGCTGATGTGTGACTCTTAATAAGTAACTGTTGCTTACTGCTGATAGTAGGTACTGTCATTAGCTAGTTTGTTCCTGCAGGCTAATGTAGTGTATTTAGCTAGGCTAATGTAGGATTCCATTATATTAATGGCCAATTGTAAGTTGGTTATTATGCAAAGTTGAATGTAGTGTTACTCTGCTAATTATATACTGATCACCCTCTTGCTTAGCACATGGATGTGCAAATTCAGTGTTGGTCAGTACCAACATTAGCTACTGGCATGAACTAACTATTGCTTACTACTATTAGTAGTTGTATTGTACTAAATTTTGCCTTGTTATTTTTCCAGGAAGGTCAGAATTGTGGGTTTGTTCAGTGGGTTGATGAGCAGTGGCCCCCAACAATGGAGAATGCATTGCTGAAGCTTTGGTCAATGGTTGAAGAGAGCAAGTCTGCTAGGGTGGATGATAATCTTCAAAGTTCTTTAACTATTCACCATTTGACAGAAGAAAATAAGAAGCTGGATGCACAATATGACAAGTTAGTGAAAGATGTGCATCAACTTGTGGACTTTCAGCAGGATAGGGTTGTGGATTTCAGTTATCTGCAGTCAGCTGTCACATATCAGCACCAATGCAGAGCTGAATTGGTGGCTGGTATGAATGCAAAAATGGCAAAGAAAGATGCAGCTCTAGAGAAGCTTCAACGGAAGTTTGAAATCCTGTGCAACCTGACAAGTGCTCAAGCAACTGCCATTCAAAACCTCAAGTTGAAGAATATGAAAGAGAAGCAATTGAGGATTGAGGCTCAAGAGAATTTGAAGCTGAAGAATGCAGAGTTCACAAAGTTTGAGGAGAAGCTCACCCAAAAGAAGCTAGAGTTGAAGTTCCAGGTTGCTGATCTGCTGAAGCTTAAGGAAAACCATAAAGAAGAGAAGCAGATGCAAGAGTTTAAGATTACTGAGCTCATGAAGGCAGAGGAGAAGCTGAAGGAGAAGATCAAGGGGATCCAGGCCATCTTGGAGAACTGAACAAGATGAATTAAGATTAGTGGGCATTGCAGACCTTTTGGGAAGGATGGCTGTGCAATGGCCTAGTAACTTAGAATTATGGTAGTGTAATGTATGGTTCTAGAACTAATTGTGAACTCTGGCTGTTTATGTACCTACTAATATGCTATTCATCCTTTTGTGAGAAAAGGATGGATTGTGCATTTGAACTCCACTATGTAATGTGAACAATGGTTGTGTATTCCTATAATGTGTTGAACTCCAGTTAGTATCATTTGCTTATGTTAGACTGAAAATGATGGTTAAATGCATTTGAGGAATAGTTACATATGTTAGAGTGATGCTTAAATGCTTAAATGCATTTGCAAAAGGAATAGTTTTAGGTGGTTCCGTCGACCCTGAGACACCCTAGACCCTAGTTGATGGCTTTAGGTGGTTCCGTCGACCCCGAGCCACCAAAACCCAAAATGATGGCTTTAGGTGGTTCCGTCGACCCCGAGACACCCTAGACCCTAATTGATGGCTTTAGGTGGTTCCGTCGACCCCGAGCCACCAAAACATAGACAACATAGAAAAGACCATTTTGAGCATAGACAACATATCAATAATAAAAAGAACCATTTTTATCATAACAACATATCAATCATAAAAAGAACCATCCAAGCTTGCATAATCAATAACTCCAGCATATCAAGATAGTCCATTCCAGGCATTCACTCATAAGTTGCATCCACATCAACAAAACCCATATATGGCATTGATTCTTAAGTACACCACCAAAGCAAAGATGACATTGTACACCACCACATGAAGTATCTAGTTACCACTTGCATAGAAGTACCCCCCCCCCCCATCCAGTATGTCTACCACCAGCACCTCTCCCAGCAACAGATGTGGAGGGAGCAGTAGATGTGGAGGGACCAGATTGTCTTGGGGCAGAGAATGCACCTCTCCCTCTCCCAACACCTCTTGCAGCACCTGGTGCAGCACCTCTCCCAGCACCTCTTCCAGCAGCTTGAGCTGCTGCAGCACCTCTTCCAGCTCCTCTCCCAGCTCCTCTCCCAGTTGTTGGTGTTGTTGTAGGAGCTGCATGAGAGGTTGTTGTTGCTGGTGTAATAGCAGCACCACCACCATTGGAATTCCTTGCAAGAGGCTTGCATAAACAAGAAGGAAAATGAGTAAGTACTTAAAAAAATGGAATGTACAAGAAGGAAAACCACTTATAAGAGGATTACCACATGTTTGTTCTTCCTCAAAGCCAGCTCAGGCTTCAACTGCTTGAGGCAGCTTGTGTACCTATGTCCTTGCAGTCCACAATTGCCATATGTTATAGTCCCCATTCTTGATGTGTCTTTAGGCTTTGGAACTTCAAATTTCCCCTTGATCCTCTTCTCTTTCTTTCTTCCTCTCTTCACTTTAAATGCAGGTGGGTCAATGTCTGGACCAGGGGTCTTTGTCCAGTCATGCTCACCAGGAACTGGATAGATCATTGGTTCATAAGCTGCCACATAAAATTCTTTCTTGAAGAACTTGCTGACATAATCCTCTGGTTTTCTTTTGCCCTTGTTGATTGCTGAGATGGCATGGTTACATGGGATGCCACTGAGGTCCCATTTTCTGCACCCACATGTGTGCACTTGCAAGTCAACAGCATGGGTTTGCTGCCCACTTGTAACCTGCCACAAGTTCACACCAGCTTGAATTGGTTTGCAATATTTGGCCCTCTCCTTCTCAACCTCTAGCTTCTCACTATAATGGGGTGTTATGTCCCATCTAGCTGTCTTTGCACTCTCCCTATTCCTATGCCACCTCATCATCTGTTTATCCTTTATTCCATCACACATTGTCCTAATTGGTTTCTTCCTAACATCTAGGACATACTTGTTGAACACCTCAGACAAATTGTTAACTACAAGGTCAGTCTTGCAGTTTGTGTCAAATGCATGCCTTGCCCATGTTTTCTTGGGTATTTGACAAAGCCACTCCCAAGCTTCCTGACATTCAGCTCTAAGGTCATTCATTGCAATGTTAAATTTGTGTTCACTATATGCATAGGCAGCATTATCCATACACTTCTTCAGATCTTCCCTCCTAAACCCAGCATTTTGGAAGTTTGCATAGATATGCCTAAGGCAGAACCTTTGGTTGCACTTAGGAAAGACAACATTCACTGCATTTAGTAGGCCCTGGGACACACAATTAAACTAGCTAAGCTACTATCTAGCACAAAACAACCATATAGGAACAAGGACATAAGATGCAAGCACATACCTTTTGTCTATCTGACATTATTGTATATGGACCAAACTGTCTCTCTTCTCCTCCTAGGCAGATTTTAAGTTGGTGTAGAAACCAACACCAGTTAGGTGTGTCCTCTTGCCCAACAATACCAAATGCTAGTGGGTATATATTGTTGTTGCCATCTCTACCAGTGGCAGCAAGTAGTTGAGCACCAGTAGTTAACTTAATGAAGCACCCATCAACACCTGAATGAGCAAGCAAATTCAATATTTAAAACATTCAAATGCATTTCAAGATGAAACAATATGTAACTAATGCACAAGGTGAACAAACTAACCAATGAATGGTCTGCACCCCTTGAGAAACCCCTCCCTTGCTCCATTGATGCAATAGAACATAGCATGGAATCTTGGACCTGGATGGGGGATTTTTTTAGTGGGTGTTGGAGTTACAGTAGTGACTACTACTCTACTCCCAGGGTTTGTATCCATCACTGTTTGAGCATAGTCTTTCAACCTAGGGTATTACTTCTTGTGGTCTCCTAGCACAGCATCAATAGCTATGTTCTTTGCTCTATATGCCATTGACTTGGGCACATCCACACCATACTTCTCCATGCAAGCATCAATCAAAGTCTGAATGCCAGTTGTTAGATCAGATCTGAACAGTGACTCATACTTCTGTGCAAGCCACTTGGCACTTACCCTTGTTGTCTCTGTACTAGTAGGGCAAGTGTGCTTAATTCTCATCTTCTTAATTACAAAAGTAGTTTCACCTTTTATAACTGCTGCCACCATAAAGAAGTTGCAATTTTTTTGGTTGCATTCTACAATTATTCTTTGATCTGAGTTCCTATGATATCTGAAGTTTCTTTCTTGAGTGATGTGTAGGTTCAACAAAGCCTCTCTGAATTGATGTTGATCCAAGAAACACATGTGTAGACATAATTGCTCATGTGGTGCATCCATTTTCTCATTGTACCATTTTCTAGGAGGCCTCTGCTTTGCCCTGCTTTTCCTTTTCTTTGGCAGCACAAATGACAATGGCTCAAAACCATCATCATCAACCTCCTTCAAAAAACCTTTCTCTTCTTCATCAGATAAAGGTTTGAAATTAGGTTCCTCCTCTGATACTACACTTGAATGTGACCTTGTTGTAGGCCCTCTCCTAACTGGAAGCTTCTGTTTCTTCTTCTTCTTCTCTTCATGTACAATTACAGTTTCTACATCCTGTGAAACAACTTTGTCATCTTCATCCATTTGAAAAGGTTCCTCAACCTCTGTTTCACCCTCATAATGCACAACTTCTTCCTCCTCAGATTCTTCATCATCTGTTTCTTCCTCTTCCATTTCATCATACTCTTTCTGTTTCTTTCCCTCAGCCATCTCTATGTCATCAGCATCACCCATATAAAAAGGTGGTACATCAATGTCCTCTTCACCTTCACAATCAGAACCACCACTGCCAACATATCCCTCTTCTTTTTCTATTTCCATAACAGCTTTCATTTTTCCTTTTACATTCTTGCTCTCTTGTGTGCAAAGACCAGTACCATGAGCTACACTGTAGCTACTACTCTGACTTTCAAATGCAACTCCTTCATTAACAACATAGATGGGTGCCTCACTGAGATCATATAACACAGGCTCTTCATACACAACAGTGGATAATTCTTGCCTCTCAAACTGGCTGCAAGGAGGTGGACATGCCCTCACTAGCAAATTTAAGACCTTAGACTCCTCAACCTGCTTCTTTACTAATTGCAACTCAGCATTACACTCTACCATCTCCAATCCTTTCTCCCCTAATTGTGGATTCTCAATGTGAAACAGCAGATCATATTCACTAAATCCTTGGGTTTCCATCACTGCAATCATATTCAAGTATGTTACATCTGAACTGCAGAGCTTCAACTCAAACATTTCTGAAGCATCAAAATAGAACCTAACATCCAAAATGTCATCATACAAACTGCAAAATGAAATAACAGAAAAAATGGTTAATAAACAATTTTACTTAACAGATAGGCTAACATATAAACAAAGCTTTGTTTAAGTTAACATATAATTTGGACTCTGCTCTAGTTAGGAATTTTTTAAGTTAACATATAAACAAAGCTTTGCTTAAGTTAACATATAAACAAAGCTTTGTTTAAGTTAACTAATGGTGCTCTGCTCTAGTTAGGAATGATTTAATCCACTATGCTTCTCTGCTCTGCTCTGCTCTAACTAGGTAACACCTAATGCTGCTCTGACAATTTGGACTAAGAAATAACAATGTAATCCACTAATGCTGCTCTGCTCTGCTCTAGTTAGGACTCATGTAATCCAATATACTTCTCTGCTCTACTTAGGAACTAGCAATTAGAGTGCTAAACATGCAGACAGTAAACTAGGCAGTAAACCCTAACCCTAATCCCCAATTTCAGTTTGCAAAGATGGAACAATGGAACACTTACAGAACACCACCGATGCCATGAGTCCACTGATGGGCGGTGCTAGGGTTGGCCAACCAAATTCGCGTCATCTTCAGCCTCTGCTCCATCGACAACGCCGGCGCCGCAAAATCTTCGTCCTCGCTACTGTACTCCGAGCTGGAGTAGCAACCACTCCCATCGAGGTCTAAGCGGGGGAGGTCGCCGCCGCTCGCATCGCCCTGGCCATCGTCGCCTGCCGGAGTAGCCGAGGCCATCGTCGCCTAGGGCACAGCAGCCGCGGGGGAGAGGAGGGCGCGAGGGACGAGCAGCCGCGGTGGAGGTGACAGCGCCTAAGCAGTTCGAT